ACTTCAGACGTTCAGCTGGTGCTTTTAGTAGAAAGATTTGACAGCTTTCTGTATCCAGTTACCTCCTCCAGACTGCAGCTTGAAGCCGCATGGTAGCACATATTCGTAGCCCAGGTTGTTCAGTTGGTGGTCGAAGTATTTGCTGAGCTCGGCAGTTTTGTTGCAAATATTTCGTCACCATCCGAGTTGACATTTTCAGGATGCTATTGTGCAGCGGAACGGATCGGCGCGATGCGCAGCGTCAATCCGATGGTTCGTCCTCCCGGACGATGGAGCACACACACACGACTACGCTACGCCAACTCACAACGCCTCGCATCGCGCCACTCCGCTGCACAATAGCGCACCATTTATGTAGCCTCGGATGACAATAAAACGTCTACAGTAAAGCTGCCCAGTCCAGCCCAGTGGAATTTGTTACGATTCCATTTAACCCATAGATACAAACGATCCGTAAGCACTCGATGTGCCCATCCAGAGTGGATAAGCTACAGGAAGTTCGATAAAGTAAGGAGACAAGTACACCGGGGTGCCTTATTACAGGTCGGGAGAGAGAGGGTCGGTTGAATCTATTCTTTAAACAGGGTGAGTGGTAAGTCAAGTTTTCGGGAAGAATGGGATGAACAGTACTCCGCCAAGCGTTAGAACCATCAACGCCGTATCAATGAGCTACAATTGACGCAGCAACATCCCACAAGAAATCATTGGAATGAGTTTTCCAGTACAATAAGATGGTGCCATAACGAACGGCAGTATAACGAAATATTCAGCGTTACGACATTATTTTTAGGCCCCTTACCTTTTCCCTATGTTATGTGTGTTAAAACATTTCAGTTTAACGAATTTCGTACTTTCAGTACAACGGATGCAAATTGCGTCTTTTTGCCTATATTTAACTTCATATTTTCACAATATAACTAAAACTCATCCTGTTTTATAATAGATATATTTGGCTTATTACATTATTTTATTATTCTGATGAGGTGGTAGCCAATTTTCTTACATGTACGCGATCGGTCGAGCTGGATAACGCTTTGGAAGTAAGCAATGCTTATTCCATTAAATAAGCTTTGTGCATTGGTGGTTCAGTGTTGCTCCTCCCAACCCTGACACCCCATAACCGGTTTCGTCCTCCTTTGGACTCATCAGATGGCCATAGCCTGAGCTGGGGTGGACCTCGAGACCTAGTGTTCAAAGGTTGAGGTCTTGAGCACTATGGCTCTTAGATCGGTGAGCAACGCTTGGCACCGCGGTAAAAAGTTCCAAGTGACATTTGGTGTACCCGCTGTGTGGTTGGATTGCGAATCACAAACTCTATTCAGACCTGGGTCCTCTTTAAAGTAGACCTCCGTCATTACGATCACAAGGACCGTATCCGAATTGGTGGTTCGGTGTTGCTCCTGCCAACCCTGACACCCCATAACCGGTTTCGTCCTTCTTTGGACTCATCAGATGGAGATAGCTTGAGCTGGGGTGGACCTCGAGACGTAGTGTTCAAAGCTTGACGCCTTGACCAATATGGCTTAAGGATCCGTGAGCAACGCTTGGCACAGCTGTACACCAAATGCCACTTAGAAGCTTTGCGCATCTTCAAATGCAACACTAGTGGTTAATAGCACTAGTGGCTGAGTAGGAGCGGAAAGTTTCAGATCAACCAATGAACGGTACCATTTCATATATCTGCCTCAGCATTTCAGTCATACACAGCGCATCTCGCATTGTCGCATCACGCGCTCAATCTTTGTCTTTTTGTTCCTTCCGCAGCCTGTAACATTGTTCCATTTAACCGTATAACGGCAATATGGATAAAAAGAAGCGACAGCCATTTTCTTTGGAATAAAAGAGCGAAATAACTCTGAAAGTGGGGAAAGAAAGGAGTGATAGCGAGGAAGTATGGCATTAGACTCAACACTACCTAGTTTTCTAAAACAGAAAAGTATGATAGAGCAGAATATTGATGCCGATGCCCTGGACCACAGCGAAAGCAGATGAGGACAACAGACTACGAGGAGGTGGACAAAGCATTTCATAGGTATTCTGTTGGAATGCGGGCCATAAACATCCCTATAACTGGCGCACTGTTATGTGAGCATGCGAGATCCATCGCATGTTCCTTTGGTTTTGCGGAATTCATGGAGAGTAGTGGTTGGTTTCATAGGTCGCAGGAAGGATATGACATTTCCCACAAGACATTAAATGGTGAAGCTAACGATGCCCTAAAGGAACTTGCATCTACTTGGCGGCTGCGTCGAAAGAATATTCGCTGGCAGACATCTATAATGCAGATGAGACGGCATTATTCTATAAATTAATGCCGAACAAAACCCTTGACTTCAAAGGAACTAAGTGTTTTGGAGCAATCATTCGAAATAACTCATAACTGTTCTTTTGTGCACGAACTCCGCAGGCACGGGCAAACTGAAGCCACTCATAATTAGGAAGTTTGGGAACCCCAAGCACTTCATGGGCGCGCAACATCTGCCCCGTGAATACAGACACAACACCAAAGCATGGATGATATCTATGATATTCGAAGAGTGCTTAGTGTGTCTGGAACGTCGGAAAAAAGGCCGAAAAGAGGAGTGTGCTTCTCATCATTGAAAATTGCTCCTGTCATAATTGTGTGCCTTGCCATTTGGAGCATGTGAAACTTTTATACTTACTCCCAAACACTACCTCAATTCTGCAGTCGCGGGATCAGGAGATAATTTACACGGTAAAGCGGCATTACCGAGCTTGTGTTGTCCAGCGTCTGCTGTGTAATATTGCTTCGAAAAGAGACCTTAATGTGAACCTATTAGAAGCAATGAAAATGGTCCGTGCTGCGTGACAAGCACTGGAAGAATAACTCATTGCAAACTCCTTTAGAGAAGGTGGAGTGGTTCATGCAGACGACATCACCGAAAGCGAAGTGTTGGATGACGCAGAAACCGAGAAAACTTTGAAGTGTCTGTGCTAATTGGCGTGAAGTTTTCTGACTACGTCAATGTCGATCCTCATGTGCTAGTGCAAAAAGCAATCACTGCTGGTGAAATTTTGGCAGAAAATATGAGTGATAGAAATCCTGTTGAGGATGAGGTGGAAGAGGACGCAGTGCCTCAAAGTGATCGGCACAGTTTGACTCGTGTGCAAGCAACCAACATGACGTCAAGACTTGCTTCTGTCACGAAGTGATGAGCCAGAATCTGTGTTAAATTCATGTGCTGTAGTTGGTGACTAACTTGAACGTTCTTTTGTGTCTGAGAGTGCGCAGAACAAACTCACAAACTTTTCCTAAAATGCAAGTTCGGAACGCTGTGTACAACGTACCAATTTAATATGAGGAAACATTACAAAAATACCTATAGGAGTTATGGTACATCAACTCTATTCGTGTATATATATGCTAACTTTAGTCTCATCTAATAAATTTGAAGCTTTTTGTCTGTAAAGCAATGCTGAAGTAATCTAGATTCTGTAATGGATATAGTACTAGGTGAGTTTTTGAGTATTGACCCATATTACTATGACAAAGTTTCACTATAACAAGTTACTTTGGAGGTCCCCAAAAGTACGTTATACTGGTAGTTTACGGTATTAGCGAAGGATTCATACTCTTCTTGCGCCTAAATCAATGCACATACTGGAGTCTGCCCCGCCGTGTGTTTGGGGTGGTGGCGGTCACAGAGGTACACAATCCAAAATCAGCTACCTCAATACAAGTATAGTGCCATCCAACACAATGACGTTGTGTGTGAGCGGCCGCCAGCGGCTTGCTTCGTTTGCCTTATGTCCCACTATGCTTTGCATCATAGTGCTCGCATCTATTGACTTGACAATGAACAATGAGTTATCACGGGGAAAAAGCATGTGCTTGACACTTCCCGTAGGGTTTTTGGGGTGAAAATTAAAATTGCAAAGACCAAAGGATAACTAAATCGTCATTCTAAGCGTCCACCGATTTAACTGCTCTGCTACATAACGCTAGTTTGAAATGGGAATGGAATGTGCACACACAGAGTAGTGTGGAGAGTAGTTATAGTTCACGTACTCCGTGCGAAATTAAAAACCGAGGGTTGGTGAGGTGTGCAGGGACCAGCTGCATTGCTTGCTCCCATTCATGCCTAACACGAGTTCCTCATGATGATGTGGGATTTCGAAAATTCCTGCAGCTTCACAGCCGCTCACAGCTAGCTAGTTTGACAACCGTGACGGTCTCGTCACGTGATTGTGTTGGACACACGCACGACAGTCGTTCAAAGCTGGACCGCTCACCATGTGGTTGGCCAATCGATCTATTGATTCTTTACATCTCGGTTGCTCTGGTCCTTTATATCTCGGTTGCTCAGTTTCGTTAGTTTTTCCATACAGTTCGTCCGACAAGGTGGTGTTCTTACTTCCCGTTCGGAGTGGGTTCACTTACAGTCAGACGTTAGAATAATGAACCCTTCCCAGTAAGGTGGGCAGGTTTCACTGGAAAGCTAATTGAGATTACATCTTATGTTGGCTTGAAACAGGTAAATGAAAGAAAAATGGACAGTTCATGTTTCGCGATTGAACGGTTCATGATCAAAGTGCCCCACGTCAGTCCTTCGCTGTTTCCGTGTGCTGTCACGTGGAGGCTACGACTTCGCATTCCGTAGTACTAATCAGACTCCCCAACTGTCATAAGCACTCAGACGCCCCACACGAAATCGCTTAATGCAGGTTCGATGTTTCTGCACATCCACCACGGATCTGGTACAGCAATTCATACTATGTGAGTTTAGCATGTGTGAGTTTCCACAACTTGGCAACCATAGTGGCTCCCTCTTCGGCAATCGAACACCTGAACGATTTTTAAAGGCTACCTGGAATTTCTGTGGTCTCCCGTTAGCTTGACTTGTCATAGAATCCTAGTGGACTCGAATCCGTGATCTTCAACTTGCGTGGCACTGGCAGCTACCAACTAGAGCTAGGGGACAAGGTTGGGCGGCGTGAAAAAATCACTATATTGTGGTACATCCGCCACGCTTTCTTTCATGCAGCTGACCTATTCAGCTACTGTTATCTGGTCCTCGCCATTGGAGAATCAGTACATGCAAATTCAGCAATGGGCTGTCAGTCGTAAGTTGATGACAGAGGATGGCAAACTAACACCCATTGCCACCATCACCACCACTGTGAGGCGCATTGTCTGCTCTCACAACTTGATTGTCTACTCTGATTCGGTTGACACACGCGCCAGCCAGGTGATGGCGTTTCCCTACAACCTTACAAATTGGCGTAATCACCTGAATGAGGAGAACGTAACGCTCAAGTGTGGGTTGGCCTCGGTGACCGTGTAAAATGGGACACTATCTCAGCAGCCTGTGAGAAAGTTCGTCCTCAAATGCCACACAGCATGTGTGCGTGAGGTTTGGATAACTACGATTCTGAACTTGGTGTGAAACAGAAGGGTTCACTATGTGGGCGCATCCAATTTACAACTCTCATCGAGCAGGAGGATTTGGAGGAGCGGCCGTGTAGTCCCAAGTGCAGGAGACGGGAGATATGTGCGCAACTGCATGAACCCGGAGTCCGACTGAACAAACAACATGGGGATTCGATTTGGTACATCGCAAGTAGGTTCCAAGCCTCCAGCAGTTACAGGTTCGATCCCTTGTAGGAGACCGAAGAATGCGTACCACTGGCGAGCCTCAACAGGGAGAAACGCACTTTTGATGCTATCCGGATTGGTAGTTTAAATTTCTGACTTGGAATCTGATTGCGATGATCCCAGTCAAACCATAACCAAATCCGTCTACTCATTAATAATCAAAAGCTAAGCCCCAACAGTCTTCACAATGCTATGTGGATTCACGGCGCTGGTACGGGAAGTCCTGACCCTGCACGGGCAGTAACCTGCCGGTAGTGGAGGACGGGACGGGTTAAATCGCAAGTAGGTTGCAATCCGTGATGGTCGACTGCCGTCCCCCATGTTCTAGTGACATAAGCTGCTGGCTAGTCGGCGTTAGCCTCTAGCCGTCATGGGTGCGATCCCTAGTAGGGGACCGAAGGATGCGCACCACTGCCAAGCCCCAACCGGGCGAAACGTACGTTTGGTGTTGTCCGGATTTGTAGCTTATCTTTGCGACTTGGAATCTAATTGGGATGAACCAAATCGAATCATAACCAATTCCGTCTATTCACTAGTAATTCAAATGAGGACTATATTGGTAGAGCAGAACGAAAGCTAAAGCAAATATGGGTCTTGCTAGACCAGGCTGTTAACAACAACTGTTGTATCCCTGGTCACGTGACAGAACACGAAGCAATGGTCAGCCTGAACTATCGTTTGCGATACCGCAATTGTAATCTATCGAATTTGACTTGCAAACTGGTCATTCTGCAAGGAAGTTGAGTAGGTGTTACGTAGATAATGGATCTTACAGTTGCAATGTAATATAAACCAGTTGCGCTGCATCAGGCGGATCGAAAAAGAACTCTGTGCGAACACCTGTTCCTCACGGGAGTGTAGTTCTCGAGTCGCTGTTAGCCTGCGCAGTAGCTTGGATGTTGCCATTTTTGCAGTGACGGATATTAGACTGGTTCCCCTGGGATTGGCGCATGAGGTGTGAGCACACTTTTTGAAGTAGGGTACAATGATCGACTGGCCCCAAGATAATGGCACCTTTAGCACACCAAATCTTCGCGAACAGAGCTGATAATTGGTTGGCAATCGCTTCGCTACCGTACTTGAAGAGCTCCGGAGGAAGTCCGTCTGAACCAACAGTTTTGAATCGCTTCATGTGACGCAGCTCAAGACAAACATCCGCTTCGGTGTGTAGTTCCAGTGAACTGATCCAAGGCACGCAAGTTGGCCTGCTTATTAGACAGGAGGAAGGAGGAGGCTAACCGAATTGATACTAGAACTGCTCAGCCCAGCAGTCCATGCGCCTGCGCAATTTAGTGATTGGTGATACAACAACCTTGCAAATGGCTTGATTGACGCTAGATCTTCTGTGGCCAGTGGTCCGAATGATTTGGAAAACCTTGCGAAACTTTCCAAAAGAGAACTGCTGTCTCCATATCCGAAGAGCACTGAGACCACAAAGTTTCGCGATGGCTACGTATGCTTTGCGTGAGTTGTTGGTTGAAGTTGCAGCTGACTTCATCGCAGCTTGAATCGGCTTGGATAGCTCGGAGACGTCTAAACAAATGCAAAGAGCGAGCAGAGATGCAGCCTTTCACAGGGTTCCCAGTGATTCCACAGCATGATTGACCAGAATAAACAAGTCCTTCTGCGAGGAATTCCAGTGATGTGCAACATCTGCAGGTGGAACAAAAGCAATCGCACCTGATAAGGAGAATGGATAGGTCAGTTGAATAGAGGGTTAGCTAGCCTGTAGGTATCCAGCGTACGGGTGTTTGATTTCATGAAACCACCAAAGCGCATGTGAATGTCTGCACAGACTGCAGCATGATCTGAGTCGAGGTAAGTGGACCAAATTGGTCTGCAATCCCGTTTACTGCCCCGCCATCTGAAGCTACTTGCAAGGTAAGCAGTTTGTGACAACGCTTGTGTTGGCGAAGGGGACGCCAATTGGCCGCATGCCTCCTCGAATGCCTGAAGTTCATGTTCGCGAAAAAGAGCCGATTATCCTCGCATAATGTGGGAAGCCTATCTCCGTTATCAGATCGACTCTCATCAAGAAGGTTACGGCCACCAAGTTGACGTTTGCATGACAGAAGGCGACCGACCCGTGCATTAAAGTCTCCGTCAAGGACGACGACAATGGTTTTTTTCGGCTGTACCCAAAGGCTGGTAGAGTGTGCGATCAAAGTAGTGCTTAAGCGATGCTCAGCTGCAATCGGCTGCAGTATAGGCTGAGACCACAAACAAATTGCGTCTCTGTATGATTTATTAATCTTACACGAGGCTTGAACTCGAACGGCACATAATCGGCTGTCAACCGGGAACCAATCGAGCAGCGAGGCTACAGCTTTGCCACTCAATGCGATGTCAATACCAGCCAGGGCAGCTGCAGCAATCTGTGTGTCATCAGCCATATGTAGGGAATATTAGTCCTGAGATCAGCAGGAGACGAGAACGTAAGTACGGTGCTAGAGTCCTGTAACCAAGTCTCAGCAAGTTAACAGACATCAATGACGAGGGACTCCAAGGTGCGCACTACGTAAGCTTGTTGTCCGATCTGCATAAGGGTTCTAACGTTGAAGACCGTCAGCTGTCATGGAGATCGAGGACGTAGGATGACCATTGCTCGGACTCTTTGGACATGGGCGAGACTGGCAGCAGAGGCAGATTCAAAAGAATTCGTGATGAAGGTAGGATTAGTGTGTGATGGAGGTGCGTAAGCAGTCAGGAGTTCAGCAGCGTAAGAGAATGACATAATCGTAGTAGTAGTAGTAGTAGCAGTAGTAGTAGTAGTAGTAGTAGTAGTAGTAGTAGTAGTAGTTGTTGTTGTTGTTGTTGTTGTTGTTGTTGTTGCGAGGTCAGTGGTTCCGTCGGCGGGCAAGCTATTACCCGGTTGCCAAAGCCGAGGTAGGGAGCTGTCTTAGGGGACACCACCCCGAGCTTTTGGCTGAATAGCCTACTCGCAAAGCATCGGAACGAGTTCAGGGAATCGCGCCCATTGGGATCTGCTGACCGATTACTCAGTTCTGACCCCCTTCGTTTGGACGCTTACCAAACATGGGCCTGATTCTCCCCCACAGTTTCAGTATGGTGTTGCTGGATTTACAATGCGGCACCAGAGTGAAGCAAGGGGCAGTGACTTCATTTAGGGGCGGGTCACATCCGCCACATCATAATGTTGTTAAATAGATATTTGTGGCTTCTTATAGAGGGATCTCTGGCCAACCGAAAATCCACCATACTCAGGAATACTGTCGCCGAACCATTGGCAGGAATGGGATGATCCCGGATCACCCAGCTCGCATCACGAAAAGTTGTTCGGAAAGCCAGTCGAGTGAGTGATAATGTCAGTGCAGAAACGACCGATTGGGGGAGAAGATTCCACGGGGGACACACGTGACTAAAAAATAAATTCCTGCTGCATTTTAAACGACTATACTGCTCTGTAAGTTGCAATGATTGACCTCTGGGGTTTGTTTTGTCACTGTTGTAGTAATGATTGGCACGCAAGTAAACCGTTATCAGGTCGCTTGGAAATCGGTGAGACCGTTTAGTACCCCAAATTGTTTCAGCTTCAGTACCTATGGAAGATTGTGCATTCTAAGGACGTACTTAAATCCCCGATGTTGAAGCTACTGCAATGCGTTAGGGTCGTGGATCAGTCATGGACACTAGACTTGAATTGCGTATTCGACATGGGGGCGAAAATACGCCCTGAGCATCTGTCGAAATATGGAGTTGTTTGTTTGTCCTAACGCCCGTTTCCACAGCCCGATGTGTTAGTTAGCAGAGTTCGATGCCTTTTCTGATTGCCGGAAACAGCCTAAGTCAAATTGAACTAGCAAACACAGATCACGTTCGACAGAAGATTGCTTCAGTACTTGCGTTCCTAGCCTGTAAAGGTAGTTGATCTGATGTCGTAGGGAGATTACCTTGCGTTTGCTCACGTTGACATGCCGTAATGTTGGAGTGGCCACTGATGCACTGTGTCCAGGTGACCCCGAAGAAGATGCTGATTGGCAGTCACCTGAATCCTGCGCCAACTCTTGATGTCATCGGCAAACAGTAGAAAGTTTGGAGCGATCACCTGTGCGAAATCGTTAATAAACACTGAAAACAATCGTGGACATAGAACCGAACCTTGTGGCACACGGCACGACTTGTATTGGATCAGATAAAAACATCCGAACTCTGACGACTATTTGTCGTTGAAGAGGAAAGTTGGCGATACAGCTTAGAACAGGGTCCCCGATGCCGCAATACTGGAACTTGGAAAGAACTATCCGATGACCTACACGATCGAATGTCTTAGAAAAATCTAGCTAGACCACAGCAGCGTCTTCTCCAGAGTCAGCTGACTCCGCCCAACTACTCTGTACGGTCAGTAATTTCGTTGTGCACGATCACTGTCGATGGAAGCCGTGCTGTTCGGGAGTAGTAATGTTACAACTTTCCAGAGAACACATCAGTGTATCGGCAATAATGGATTCCATGACCTTAGAGAGTATGGCGAGAGAAGAGGTATTGGATGGCAGTTTAAAGGTTCTGTTCTGTTTCCGCCTTTGTGAATCGGGCTTATTTGTCCAAGCCATTGTTCCACACGGCAACAACCTGGTTCTGGTCTAAGCAGCGCTGGAAGATCTGACCCTAAGGTTATACCAGCTGTTTTACTGCTGCTCTCAGTGCCTCTGGACGTATTGTATCGGCACC